CAACAATCTTATCACCGAGAAATAAGTTTCTGTTTTCTCAAGTTGTGAATATGATTTTTCCTAAGTTTATTCCAAAGAGTTGAGATGAAGAGTTATCTTTAGAGAAGCGATGGAAAAAAAAATAGCAGCCTTTTCGCTCTTCAGCGAGTATGTACTTCTGACATGTTGTAATTTACAACTTTTAATAAAACTAGTTATGTTTTCAAAAAAAAATTTCTAGGTCTTTCTCGCATAATGCGTATGCAGTTAATTAGCATAACTCTGCCGCAAACTAACCTCAGAAAATTGTTAGGCTCTCGAAAAATGGGAATTTGTTACAGCTTACCAACTCTGCAAAAAACAAATATACCTCCAAAACATCTACCTCTTCTTTTTCTAGCGTAAATTTCTATTGAAGCGAAAACGCCTTCAATTATGCCTTTCCAGTAACATTCTCATTTTTGTGCCAATTACAGTACTACCACTGACGGCCATGAGGATGATGACTACTGGGATCATTCGATTAAACGAGACGATGAAGAGTACGAAGTTCCGAAAGTAGTGGATTCTGAAGAAGATCGCGAACTCTCACCGAGTAAGCAGCATCTATCCGCTTAGGGCAAAAAGCCCATTTTCGCTGAAGTCTAGTCACTAGTGAATAAGTATCTCATTTTCCACAAAGTGTTGATTAACAGTTTCTACAAAACTAACTGCCAGGGTTATCTCAAACTCCAAAGCTCTTTTGTTATACAATAACACATATCTACGACATATAGAACGATTGGATTTTTGAATGATTTGTTTCCACTAAAGTCAGCAATTACACCTTAAGGTATGAAAATTTTGTTTAACTCAATACATAAATAATATTTCCTAATAATCAGTTACGAGATTTTATATCATATCTATTTAGGTTTGTAGAAAAATAGGATATAGTGGAATTGTAGTCTAGTAGTGGACGTATCCAACTCATTCAGTCCAAAGTAGTAGTGCAGTGAATTCTAGAAAAAGGAGACGTATTTCCTTACTACTCTTCATGTTTAGCCAAACCTGCTGAAGGTGTAGTTCCTACCGGAGAAGTGCGAGAGTTTGCCGC